AACAAAACAATTACTCTGCCTTCACAAGATGAACCACTGAAAAGTATAAATTTCATTTTTAGAAGTGATTTAATAAGTCATACAGCAACATAAGGACTTGAGTCAAACAGTGCCATAAAGAAAAGGACTGTTTGTTATAAAAATGATCAATCTGCTCTGAAGCCAGGAGTTTAAATGTTTTAAACAAGAGCATCACTGATATAATTATATAAACGGTCATATGGCTTCTTTAAAGAACAACTGCAACCAGATGTATGACTCCACTCCGTCATGCCCCCTTCGTTTTATGGATGAGGAAACAAAGGCCTAGCAAGGCTGAGTAACCTCCTATGGATACACAGGTGCAGTGTCATGCCTCCCACAGAGCCTTAGAAGCCTCCCTTCTAGTTCAGTGCTCTTTCTAGGAAACAACTCTTTTTTACCCCCCAAGGGCAACTGCTTTATTCTTTTTATTTTTATCCTCACCCAAGGACTTTTTTTTTTTTTTTTGCATTTATTTTCAGATAGACTGGGAGGGAGAGAGGGAGGAAGAGAGAAACATTGACGTGAGAGAGACACACCCGAGTGGTCACCACCCACACGACCCCAACTGGGGCCAGGGACAAACTGCAACCAAGGTACGTGCCCCTAGTGGGAACCAAACCCAGGACTCTCCAGTCCACGGGCCGAAGCTCTAACCACTGAAAAAAAACGGCCAGGGCTACTTTATTGTTTTGTCTCAAGTATTGTACAACTTTCTGAACTCAGTGAGGTTTTACATGTAGGCACAAACTGTCAGACTAGGAAAGTGAATCAAAACGTGGTCAATATAATTTTCTATTAAGTGAATAAGCAAAATTGGGATCCTGATCATGCATGTTTTTTTATGCAATCCTTCCAACCTTTCCCACTTGTTCCTATACTTCTCTCATCATTTTAGTTAGTTTGCAAAGTGTTTTGTGGCCCGGTCAGTGTGGTTCAGTGGACTGAGTGTTGTCCCACCGACTGAGAGGTCCTGGTTCAATTCCCAGCCAGGGCACATGCCCAGGTTGCTTGCTCAATCCCCAGTAGGGGGCGTGCAGGAGGCAGCTGATCGATGTTTCAATCTCTTTCTTCCTTCTCCCTCTCTAAAAAAAAAAAAATTAATAAAAACATATTTAAGTAAATAAATGAAGTGTTTTATGTTCTTCAACTGCTACAATGGTACTGCCCTTGTTAAAATCACCATACATCTAAAATCAAGGAAATTCTGCATTTTCAGTTTTGAATTATAAAGTCCTTTTCAGCCTTAAAATTATGTGATCCTAGATGCTTTTAATACCTCAGGGTTCAATTAAATAAGTACTTATGAAGCACTTACAGTGTACAAAACCCTATGCTAAATCCTACTACATAGATTTTCTTTTTTCAATATTTTTAGAGAGAAGAAGAGACAGGGAGAAGCATCAATGTGAGAGCAAAACACTGATAAGCTGTCCCCTGGGGGATCAAGCCAGCAATGGGGCATGGGCCCTGACTGGGAATCGAACCAGCAATCTTTCAGTGCACAGGACAGTGCCCAACCAACTGAGCCAGGACCCTACTACATAGGTTGTTTTTTTTTTAATCTGACTTTACCTCAAAGATATTACTAGCATGTTGAGACTATTAGTGTATCCTAGGGGCTAACTAAATCAAGGACGATCTAATTTAGGCAATGTACTGAACTTGCATAGGCCTAGAGAGAGGTCATTTTCACACTGTGCTTCATAATTTCCATAAATATTTGATGCTACAACTACTGGCCACAGGATAGTCTAGCCACCCAAGTCAACCCCACTGGTCCCCATCCATCTCCCCCCTTTTTTAATCCTCACCCGAGAATATGATACGTTTACTGATTTGAGAGAGAGAGAAGAGAGAGAAACATTAATCGGTTGCCTCCCACAGGTGTTCCAACTGGGGATCGACTCACAACCTTTTTGGTGTATGGGACAACACTCCAACCAACTTAAGCCACCTGGCTGGGGCTCAGAACCAAAGTGGACTGCTGCTTTAAAAAAAAACTGAAATCCACTCAGAAATTTTTTTTTCTTTTTATCCTCACCCAAGGACATTTTTTTCCATTTTTTGTTCAGATAGAGTGGGAGGGAAAGGGGGAGGGGGGAAGGGGGGAAGAGGGGGAAAGAGAAACATCGACGTGAAAGGGACACATCGAGTGGCTGCCACCCGCACGACCAACCAGGGCCAGGGACAAACTGCAACCAAGGTATGTGCCCTTAGCAGGAACCAAACCCGGGTCTCTCTGGACCGCAGGCCGACACTCTAACCGCTGAGCCAAACCGGCCAGGGACACTCAGAAAATTTAAGAACTACTCTAAAATTCTATGATAACCTGTTATTGTTTTCAATCCATATTTTAGTCACCAATATTTATGTCAGTGATGGTGAAGAAATCCTTATGAGATTTATAGACTATATAAAGAATCTTGCACACTATAAATATTATACTTGGTTCATAAAATCTGACCTTATTTTGGCCTTTCTCTGTGGAATAACTAAAGAATATTACTACTGAATCCAGTTCTGTAAAATAACTCCTAAAGCTTCTTTTAAGGAATACCTAGGTGATGAGTACAGGTTCATCTAATGTGAGATATTTTTTTTCTCTCAATACAACTAGGCTTCCTGCAGTCTTTCTTGAGTGCTTTTAAAGCAAATATAGGAACTGTTCTACTTGGCCACTGGAACAGAACAGTTGCCAAAACTGTTAGACCCCTCTTCTCAGCAGATGGTTTACTCCTTGCTCTACAGAGAAGACAGACTTTCCCATATGACCAGCAACAATTTTTCCCCTCCTTTTCCTTAAAACTTCTCTGCAAACCCCTCCTCTGTTGGGTTAACCTTTACTAGTTAATTCCAATCCTCAACTGTCATGCTCCATCAGTTATTTTCCTTCTTATTTGATTGATAGATTCTTCCATAAAATAACCTAAAAACCTTTTCTGTCTTAGCCATCTCATTACTTCACCAATTCTTTATTACACTATGGATGATCCATGGCTTATGATAGATACATTGTCCTTATTTATCACTGAGTGACACTTTAGGAAATAGCTTTATGAAAACTATTATTATTATTTTTTATTTACTGTAGGTAAGATACAAAGGATATTGCCCCATCTCTTCTAAATAAAATTTCTTTGCTTCCCTGACAACCTAGTAGGTTTTCACTGGGAAAGGGGGGAGTGGAGGGTGGTACATTGTACCTCATCAAATTTCCCCCCCTTGATCTGGTCACAAAAAAGCTCGAGGTCAAGTCTGCAGGTCAATTTTAATAAATTTGAGGGTCTCATTTATTCATAGCTTATGTAATTTTATGTCAAGTTTCCATTTTATATTTTCTGTAGCTTTGATTTTAAACTTGAATTTTTTTCTATGTTGTGATCATATACTCTTGTACACTGCCTCAGATTCTTCATGATACAAGATAAACAGACAAACTATAGTATTTCCAGACCCACTGTGTAATAATTGCTTAACAAAGACTTGCAGAATTAAATTTTATTTTCCTATTTTAAAAAAAGAAGCAGTGTGGCTAATTAGATAACCTGGTCTTATTCCATTGAACATTTTTCTCACTTTATTCCTATCGTACAAACTTTGAATCTATGATTTAAATATAGTCTATTTGTCCTTATGTTAACAAAATCAATGAAAAGTAACCTTATTTAAGGCAGAAAGATTTTTCATTATTTGATTATACTGGAATTTTTGTTTACTTATTTTCAGCTAGACAACTTGTTTCCTCTTTGAACACACAGCTATATCATGATGGCTCTATAAAATATTTTAAAATAGCTATCAAAGTAACTAGGAACAAAGACTGTGGATACTGAAAATGGCTACAAAGAGACATTATGACACCACCTCTTGGAGTTTGAATGGAAGTTCTGCTAGATTAGAGCCTATGCCTTTGATAATATGTTTTCAATTCCTATTCTTAACTGCTTTTTCATATAGGTAATGCTTTCTGGAATATCATTCATTCAACAAATTTTTACTATTTGCTACCTGGGGAACACACAGGAGTTTTAAAGTACTCTACAGAAACAGTTTCTTTACCTCATGACAATGTGCTGCTGTAAGGAGCGTTCACCATCTATTTTGTTAAACAACAATGAAGACTCACTTTCTAAAACAAATACACTTGATTCTTCTTCTTTTTGTTTTTTTAAATTTTCTTTATTGATTTTAGGGAGAGAGAGATAGAAACACAGATGAGAGAGAACATGAATTGGCCGCCTTCTGCATGTCCCACACTGAGGACTGGGCCCCTAAACTGGGCATGTGCCCTGACCGGTAATTGAACCAGCAACCTCTTGGTGCATGGGTCAATGTTCAACCACTAAACCACACCGGCCAGGCTTGATTCTTCTTATGTGTGGTAGCTATTTACAAAGTCACCAGAAACATTGAATTAGCAATACTGAATCACTGCTCCAAGGGGAAATACAGGGTTGGGTTACTGCAAACCTCTGGTCACATGTTCTTCAACTAATCAATATATAACCTTGTTTTCTGTGTGTTTCTGTAAAAAGACAGCACTTCAGCACTATGCTTGGAAGCTATTTTTTAATATCAAAATAACCAACAAAAAAGCACAAAATGTAAAAAATGTGGCACTAAACAGATTAGGAAAATTGTTCTCAATATGAGAGCAGATACAAGAAGACAGAGTAATACTGAGAATGTGTGCACTGGGCAAATCAAGTTTTTCGTCCCTCTGCACATGTCTAGGACAGCACTGTTGAGTATTGTAGCAAGCAGGCAAATCTGCAAATACAGAATCTGTGAATATCGAAGATCAACTATGTATGAGTCAAATATTTCAGTGCAGTCTCTCATCTGATTGTCACCAAAAGAAAGAAATCTGGAAAGCCCTAAGAAATACTATTCGGTTACTATACAGAGTTTTGGACTAGAGTGCTTCAAGAAGTAAGACGTCTGAGACTTTCATAAGTTAAAACGTAACTTCATACCTGATATATTCTAAAAGGGATGTAACGAAATCCATTTTCTTCTGCAGGATATTCCATAAGTTTCCGATTGATGGCCCAAAACTGATCAAATCTGTCTGTAAAGATAAATTCATTAAAAATGAACATTATAATTTAATACCTCACATGAAGAGATGAAAACTGTTCGATTTCTACCTCTTAGAAGTTTCTGAAAGGGCGTCATCTTTTTTTTAACATTTTTTTCTTTAATGATTTTAGAACGAGAGGAAGGGAGAAGGAGAGAGAGAGAGAAACATCGACAAGACAGAACATTGATTGACTACCTACTGCATGCCCGACTGGGGATCAGGCCCATAACTTGGGCATGTGCCCTGACTGGGAATTGAACTGGAGCATGGGTCGATGCTCAACCACTGAGCCACACCGGCCAGGCTAGGGAATCATTGATATATTATTTTTTTCTTAAGCTTATGTTTCTGGAACTAAATATAAAGCAAGCTATAAATTTAATTTTCTACATTATTGCTTCCTTTTCCTAGATAATTCACACAGATATTTTTTCTCTTAAGAGAAGTCCTAAACAGATTATGACTGCCCATGTTACCAAGGCAAAAAACATCAGAGAGGGATGAATGTCTTGATTTTCTCTGTTCTACTCCTACTGTCTAAATTATAAATGCAACAGGCTAGCTGATGTGGCTCAGTGGATTGAGCATCTCCCATGGACTGAGAGGTCCTGGTTCAATTCCCGATCAGGGCACATGCCCAGGGTTGTAGGCTCGATCCCTAGTAGGGAGTGTGCAGGAGGCAGCCGATAGATGTTTCCCTCTCACAGTGATGTTTCTCTCTCTCTCTCCCTAAAAAAAAAAAAAAAATCAATAAAAACATATTTTAAACTATAAAGGCAACAGCTTCAAGTGACCTAAATTTTTACTAGCACATGCTTAAAGAAATAAAGTCAAAATACCAAACACAGTGAACATTAAATACCAAAAAAAGAGAAAATTATAGGAAATATTTAAAGAAACATGATCTGATTAAACAATAGCTTTTTAAATTTTCAGGTTCAATTTTTTTAAAAACCCACTTTACTGAGCTATAATTCACATACCATAAAAGTAATCTTTTTGAAGTGTACAACTGAGTATTTTTTAGTATATTCAGCGTTAAGCAACCATTGCCAATATCTAATTTCACAAAATTTTCATCATCCCCCACAAAAATCCATATCCATTAATAGTTATTCCCTTTCCCTCTCCTCCATCCCCTGGAAAAAACTAATTTCTATTCTATTCCAGAAATTTTATATAAATGGAATCATATAATATATAGTCTCTTACATCTGTTCTCTCTCTCTCTCTTTTTTTCCAGACTATGCTTTCAAGGTTCATGCTATAGCATGTACCAGAACCTCATTTGCTTTTATGGCCAAATAATATTTCATTGTATGGAAATATCACATTTTGTTTATCCATTCATCAGTTCATGGGACATTTGGGTTGTTACTACCACTTTTTGGCTACTATGAACATTCATGTACAAGTTCTTGTGTGGATGCATGTTTTCAGTTTTCTTATGTATATATCTGCCATGTGGTACCTATGTCTTGAGGAATTTTCCAACTGTTTTCCAAAGAGGCAGCACCAATTTACATTCCTGGCAGAATGTATAAGGGTTTCAATTTGTCCTCATCCATGCCAATACTTGTTATTGTCTATCTTTTCTATTATAGTCATCCTAGTGCAAAGTGGTATCTCCTTATAATTTTGATTTTATTTCCCTAAGGACAATTTATGCTGAGCATCTTTTCATTTGTTTACTGGCCATTTATATATCTTCTTTGGAGGTGTGTCTATCAAATCTTTTGTCCCTTTTTAAAATTTTGTTTGCTTGTTGTGTATTATAAGAGCTCCTTATGTATTCAGAATACAAGTTCCTTATCTGATAAAGGATAAGCAAATAATTTTTCCTCATCCTATGCATTGTTATTTTTTGTTGTTTTGTTTTTTATAAGATGTTTTTATTGATTTCTTACAGAGAGAGAGAAACATCGATGTGAGAAACATTGATCAGCTGCCTCCTACACGCCCCCTACTGGGGATCGAGTCCACAACCCACACATGTGCCATCACCGGTAATCAAACTAGGACCCCTCCGTCCATGGGACAATGCTCAATCCACTGAGCCACACTGGCTGGGCTTGTGCATTGTTTTGTAAACTCTTAACTCACGAAGAATAGTTTAGGTATTAAAATAAACTATTTTTTCCTCAGAAATTTCTCTCAAAATCAAATCTCTGTAAAGCACATAATAGTCCCAGATTTTCAGATCAGTTTGGTACCAAAGCATATTCTCTACTATTAGATTCGTCTCAATCCAGTTTACTGGGAGTCTATTCATTCTGCTTAGGCCATCAAAATTATTTTAAAAAATAAAGTTTAGTTTTTTCTTCTTATACCCCCGTCCTAGAAGACTCTGGGCTTTCTCTACTCTCATCTCCAAGTCAAATCTGGTAGGTCATGGAATTTAGAATCCAGTTATTTTGGAGCAATTTCACAAATGACAGCGAAGTTTCAGGTTGTTATGATTTTAATTCAGAACTAAGACCAGACACTTGGTTTCTGACTCAGTCTATAACCGTTTCAATAGCTGCAACCACAAAACTGTAACTTAATGTTAAAAGGAGCCCCTCTGACCACAGTACTTTCATTTTTTAATCAATTATTCTATCAACGTTTTTTAAAAAGTACCTCCTTCCATTAAGTATTAAGCAAAAATGTGACAGCTGAATAAAATGATTCTTCATGCAGTCCTGAAATTTTACTCACTGGCTCATCATTAATGATCTCTAGCACCTACCTACAATGCATGCATATATATGCCCTTGAGTCAAAGAATGAATAACAGAATACTACGTACAGAACTTTTCATTGAAAATTTGGGGTTCTAATTCTGGGTCTGCAAATAAGCAGCTAAGTGATCAGAAACAAATCAACTGAAAAGTCTACCCTAATTTCCTAAGAGATGAAAGTAAGGAGTTAGATGAAAGAGCTTCTAATGCCTCTTCTAAACACAAAATTTTATAATTATTTAAGACACCCTCTTTTATTAAGACAGAACTTGTTAAAAAGCACAAGAAAAACTTTATAGTAAAATAAAAGTCTTACACTGTTTCTAACAGGAAAAAACAGCAAATAAACACGGGCTAAAGCAGTCATTCTTAATCAGAGAAGATTTTGCTTCCCGTAGGTCTGGAGACATTTTTGGTTGTCGAAACTGTATGTGTGTGCTACAAGCATCCAGTGGGTAGAGGCCAGGGATGCTGCTAACCACCACAGAATGCGCAGGGCAGCTCCCTACAACCAAAAATTGTCTGACTTAAAATGTCAATAGGACTAAAGGAAGGAAAGCAAATACAAATATACAACAAAAAGTACAGAAAGGTGCCCTGGCCAGTCTGGCTTGGTGGTTAGAGCAACGGCCCACAGACCAAACACTCTTGGGTTCAATTCCAGTCAAGGGCACATACCTCGGCGGCAGTTTGATCCTGGCCCTGGTTGGGGTGGTGCAGGAGGCAACTAATCGATGTGTCTCTCTCCTTCCATCACACTCTATCTGAAGATAAATGGAAAAACACATTGCTACCTTCCTAGATATTAATGAATCAAGAATATACTGATTTGTTACTAAGCAATACTTTGAAAATCAAAACTATGCTATTTTAATTAAGTAGTAAAATTAATTATTTATCTTACTAGCCATAAAACAGTACTTATAAGTAAAAGAAGCATGATGGTTTTAGTTGTTCATTTTTTAAACTATAACTGTAAGTAATGTACATCAATTTCAACAACTGTCAAATTAAATTAGTCCTAATTCTAAAACAATAAAGTAAACCACTAAGGAGGAGAAAATCACAACTATCAGTAACTTAACCTATTCAAAGAATGGGAGAAGAGAACTTACACACTTCTTGCCAGAGCTATTAGCAATGTGACTGATGAAATGGTTTTTGTTTTTTACACTTAACATTTGTTAGGAAAGCTACCAAATCAAGGATCACAAAACTGAAGGACTGACCTGTAAAAAGTCAATCTTTTTTTTTTAAAGATATTAAAAAGAAAACTCTTCAAAACCCTGGTGGCCACCAAATTTTTCTCACTCTGTTGAATTAAGCTTTTATACTGGTGCTGGAAATTTTTAAAAATCCAGAAAAAAAAATTTTTTTTCAATCCTTACCCAGGGATATATTTAGAGCTAGGAAGGGAAGGGGGAGAGGGAGAGAGAGAGAGAGAGAAAGACAGAAACATTGAGTGGTTGCCTCCCGGACGTGCCCCGGACCGGGGACCAAATCCACAACCTTTTAGTGTATGGGATGATGCTGCAAACAACTGAGCCACCTGACCAGGGTCAGAAAAAAATTTTTTAAATCAAAGATCTCCTTAAGAAGCATATTAGAAATAAGGTCAATCACATGTTATTCTTTGTTCCTCACCTAGAAAAAACTGAAGAAAAAAAGTGGCAATTTTAAAGGATGCATCTATTCTTTCACTTGAACTTTATGAGAGTTAAGAACTGAAGAGTTTTTAACATTCTCACATCACAAATAATACATGTATTTAAAAGCCCCCACAAGAGACACGGAGGACATCTACGGGACTGCTACTCAGCCTCATTCACTAATGTGGTGAAGTTGGCTGAAACCTTCCAACTATAGACAAGGGGTAAAATGGCTTTCACATGCACACACTATCTACTTCCTGCTCTTTAATGTCTAATGAACAGATTTACAGCATCCCAAATAAGTATCAGAACATGACTGCACATAAAACACAAAGTTTAAGCTTTTCTTTGAAGAGAAAAGCAAATGGTTGAAAATCACTATGAAGGGAACCCACTCTTCACAAAATTTGCATTTATCAACATTACTACTTACATCACTACATGTGACTGTGTAATATACATATTTTGTATATTACATATACATATTTTGAAGCTTTCAAAATATGTAACAGACAGCATATCCAATTATAGATCTATTGAATTAATTTCTTCATATGCTAAATGTTAGACACCTTTGAAAAGCAAACTAGAAAGGAAAAAAAGAAACAGCAGT